GTTTAACCAAAAAAGTATCACCGAAGTTTTTCGGGAAGAATTTTTACCGGAAATTAACAAACAAGCAGATATGTAGTAAATTGGTGTCAGAGAGTGGAACGGAAAAAGAAAAAAAGGAAGATGGAAACTAGAAGTGGCAAATCAAACTACAGCTTCACAGATTTGATGGCAGCAATACAAGAACAGCAAAAGAAACAAGAAGAACGTAAAAATAAACAAGAAAGGAAACAAGAAGTACAAATTGAAAATATTAGTAAATTTCAAGGTGAATTAGATACATTAAAGGACAATTGACTGTCTTTTCCACAGGAAGGATATATTAGCCATGGACCTAATCAGCCCCATACAACATGAAGCCCCTTCCAGACTCTGCAGCTAAACCCTAATGCAGACATCTTCAGTCCTGCCAGAAGTCACATTCCAGACATGAGTGTCAACAATAGGGATGATCTAGTACGAAGGAAGCCACAGGAATTCGATGGGAAGGCGCCATGGGAAGCATATAGAGCACAATTTGAGCTCCTGACAGAAATAAATGGATGAACAGAGGAGCAGAAAGCAGTGTACCTGGCAACGAGCCTGAAGGGACAACCATTGGAAATACTTGGACAGTTGTCAGCAGACGATAGGCACAACTATAGAGCACTGGTAGCTGCTGTAGAAATGAAGTATGAAACTCAAAATCAGTCCTAAGTTTACAGGGCTAGGTTTAGGACGAGAGTCCGTGCTAAAGAGGAGAGCTTGCTAGAGCTGGCACAGGATTTTGAAAGTATAGCACACAAGGCCTACCCAACTGCGCCACCCAATGTTATCAAGCTGTTGCTGAGGAATCAGTTTATAGATGCCTTGGACAGCCCACAACTAAAGATACAAGTAAAGCAAGCACACCCCTCTACTATGCAAGATGCAATGGCCAGAGCTCTTGAATTCGAATCCTACGTTAAGTCCAGCACAGAGGTATCAAGGTTGGTACAGTCATCAGCATTCAAAGCCAGAAAAATTCAGCTCTCAGAGATGTTTGAGGGACTTTGCTGGCACTGTAAAAAACCTGGGCAAAGGAGAGCTCAATGCCGGCAACTTCAAAACAGGGAAGATGCCACAGCAGGAAAAGCTGCTACCCAGAAAGATTGTTGGAATTGTGGAGAACAAGGAC